CTAAGTAGGAGAGGTTGAGCAGGGAGTGGAGCCCATGTGTTAGGGCTGAAGAGAACTGGGCACACATTTGCCTCTGGAAGCACTGAGGAACTGGACCTATCCCAGGACCCAACTCTCCTGCTGCTGCAGAGTGCACTCCATGTCTGCTACCTTCCTTCATGCTGGTGTTTGAGGTTGCTAACCTTTCACAGCTCAAGCTGCCACTGAAGTCAGTGGGAATGTGGGCAAGTCAAGGTGTGCAGGATGGACTCCCTAAGGAATGTGGTTAAAGCAGCCACATTCCCAGTGTCCCATGCAAAATGTGCGTGCAATGAGTTGGCAAACAGTGTTATTCTCGCTTTTGTCAGCAAAAGGAAATGTAACTGATTTATCAAGAAGCTAAGGCTAAAAATCTCTCCAGAGGCAATGGAAATGTATGTCCTTCCACTGACCTCTGAAGATACATGATTTATGGGAATACCCACTTATTTACGTTAGTTCCCACAAACAGACCTGAAAAAAATTAGCCCTTGATCTGTGATGGCAAAGGGCTCCACAGAGGTAAAGCCACTGAGGAAGAAAGAAGGAAAAATCAGGTTCAAAAGGAACATATAAAACTAGAAATACACTGAAGGGATAGAAAATAGTTTGCCCTAAGTAGCGTAACGGAGTATCGCTTGGCAGTGCTGCTAGGCTGTGGATGGACAGAGACACTCAGGGCTTCCTAGCAGTTTGGTTTGGCTGTTAGTAATTAGGAACTTGAAAGGAAATGTGAAAACACAGTAATAATAATTTCATAGTAAAAAGAGTTTCAACTCGGAAGTGCTACAGTGCCACAGACCTATAGCCACATGCCTGAGCTCCCTTCCCAGGGGACCTCCATGTGCATCCTTCCACTTGGTGAAGTCACACTTCACTTTGGAAATTCATTCTTCACAGGATGGTTACCACCTCTCAAGGCTGCGCTGGGTGTCTGCTTGCCACCACTTGCTGATGGATCACAGAATGTTTAGACTGCAGGCCTGGAACAGGGTGCCCGGAGAAGCTGTGGCTGCCCCATCCCCAGCTATGTTCAAGGCCAGACTGGACAGAGAGGCTTGGAGCCCACACCCTTATGGTGCTCCTAGAAAGGTGACCTGATCCTCAAAATGTCCTGTGAAATGATTTAATGCACTAGACTGGACAGTATGTAGTGCCTCTGTCTTGGAAAGATGAAGTTTTGTTCATTCTTAGATCTGAACCTGAGATGCAGAGGGTGTAAATGACATGCACGGGTCTGTTTACCCATGCCCTATAGCAAATGCTAGTTCTTAAATTCTCTTTTAAAAAAGGCTTGATGAAATTTAACCTTCCTCCTTGCAGTCCCAGCACAGCCAGCTCCCCTGGACTCAGGCACCAAACATGAAGAGAAGGAGCCATTTCAGATATTAGACTCAAAATGCACGCTGCTCTACATGTAAAGGAAGTGGTGTGAAAACAAGATGGATCACCACCAGTTTTGATGTGCAGTGCCTGAACTGATCTAGGATGGATCTGGGAACTGAGGAAATGGAAAGTAAAAGCCCTGAAGCCATCAGAAGTAGATCAGAAGAAAATGAGTTTGTCTAGAGAGTGAGAAGTCTGATAGGCCATGCTCTGTGGTGGCTCTGAACCATGAAGTGGGTGTTCTGTGGTGCCTCAGAGGTCTAATCTCAAGTTACTCTTTGATCTCCTCACAGTTCTATGGCTCTAAGTAAAGAAGCCATAGAGTCCATCAGAATCAGAATGTGACAGCCAGATCTGGACTCTGGGTTTGGTTCATTTCTAGACACAAATGAAAATGTATTTGGTGGCTTAAGTCTCCAGCAAACAGGTGAGTTGGCTTTCTTCAAAACCACTGTATAACCCTGCATGATTGGCACCTTTCAGTTAAAAGAAGCCTGAGCTCCATTGGCCAGCAATGAATTAAATTGGCAATGACTTAGGGAGGTTTGTAAAGCAGTTGGCTCTGTTCGAGGCTTAGATTCTCTCATTTTCATGAACCCAAACCCACACTGGAATAGAAAGCAAAAGAATAAACTACCTACCCAGCATCCGATAGAAAGAAAAATGCCATTCGTCTTAAAACAAGCAAACAAAATCCCTGTTAATGTGATAATCTTACAATAACTACTTATTTCAATGAACAAATGACACCAAGACAAGAAGTATCCTGGAGTCAGAGGCATGAACTTTTAGCTGGTAGGTCAATGGTAACGTATCTTGTTTGTACAAGCCTGACAAAGATCTGCTGAGCAATATCCACTGGGGCCAACAGTGCTTGGCTGTCTGCACTGTGGTGGAGAGACAGACTTGGATAACGGTGTCACTCACTCCTTCGGCGACACCAGCCAAGCATAATGAAGCATGGCCAAAGCCTTCTTCAGCATGATGGCAAGAGTGAAATGCTGAAAAGTCCTAAAACGGGTTGACATGGATGAATTAGAATGAAATGGTTGCAGTAACGATGATCTGAGACGGCATGTCCGGCGCTGAAGCCAACACAACCCTGTTCCAACCCCCTCTTTCCTCTCTAATGGCCTTCTTGCTGCATTTTCATGTATGCTGCAAACAGTTATGCAAGTTCGTCCAGCCCACAGGGGTGTCAAGGGATGTCTACACCGCAGACTGCAGCATAACACTGAGGTATCTGGAGCAGTTCTAAGTGAGCTAATCTGAGTACCTCTGGCCATGTAACTGCAGCTTCAGAGTTTGCTTTGCAGAACGAGTTTCTAGTGTTAGTTTTAATGTTGATAATAGCATAGTTTTGAAGGGCAGCTTTGCCTGGCTTTCATCCTATTACAGAGAATCAAAGTTTCACCGGGTACCTCTAGTAAATTCTAATCTTTATAGAAACTAAGCTACAGTATCACTCCAGAACACCTTAATCCATTTTCAGAGCAAGGCTGGACCAACAGGTCAGCACCAAATTTCTGGGGTTAGACTCTCTTCTAGACTGTGTTCTTCCTGCAAACCCACTAGTGACGAAGTTGTGTGAGGCAGCAGATCATACTGGCTTTGCCTAAGGTTGGTGAGCAAGGTCAGTTCAAGGGAAGGGTAGCTCAGCCCTTGGAAGCTCCATGTGAAAATCAGAAACATAGACTGAACCTAAGGAACCTGGTTCACCCACAGCAGATATCTTTTAAACCAACCAACAACATCACTTCTTCAGCCGTGAGGAAGAACTCAAAAAAGGCAACATGGATTCCTTATTTTCTTGTGATCAAATGGAATGAATATAAGGCCATAATCATCATGGTCAAGGACAACGAGGATGCGATGGCTGAGGACGACTTCCAAGTGTAACTGAACAAGAGAAGGACAGGGATACACTGTGCAGCACAGGTCAGTGATGATAACAAATTAGAGCACTTCCCGGTTCCTAGGTGTTGGTTTGGCACTACGAATGACCCGAGCAAGAAATCTTAACATGTTATTTGTGTGGAATGTACTCAGAAGCTGCAGGAAGCCACAAAAATTAGACTGATACTTCTTTATTTGTAACACTAGCTGACGGCTCTTTCCAGTCCTTCTCCTTCTCCAATGCATCTTAGAAAATAGCTTTGAAATTCATCAGACCTTGGACATACAGCCCGGGTAACGTTCCAGCAAGTAGCCGTTTATTTTATAAGGGGATTTAAATATTGTAAAAGTGAATAAAACGCAGGTGTTTGCATTACAGACAAGTGAACCTTGTGTAAGCTCTACAAAGACGTGGCTTCCAGATTAAAAGGGCTTTGCACAGCTCCCGTTGCCTCTGTGGAGGAGGTGGATTTTTGGATCAGCAAGTGAAGCATCTTCCTTTGCATGATGAGGCCCCGGATTCAAACCTCTGCTCTGTTTGCACACCAGGGAAAGGCAGGAAGTAAGGCACATGGTGACCATATTTGCACCTGCACAAGGTTCTTAACTTTGAAATCTGCCTGAATAAGTTCAGCCACCAGATTGCCCAAACACAAACAACTGCTGCCATGCAAGGATGAACACTAACCCCATATTGTGCTACTATTCAGATGGTCCAGCCCAGGCTGCTACCAAGAGATGCTGGGATTAACCAAAACAGGAACATAAATACATGGGAAAAATTGATCCCCTGATTTTCACACTGGATTTTGGTACAAAGGAAAGAACTAACAGCTACCTCTTGGAAAGCTTCCTCAACAAGCAAAACCAAACCTTCTGGCCCATACCGTACCAGCTTCCTCAAGAAGAGAGCTTATGTGGAAAACCTTAAAACAAGGCTTAAAGACAAGGCAACTCCACCTGTGTTAGTTCATTGACTCCTGATTTACACCAGTGAAAGTGAACACATAGCCAAGGTAATACTAGTTAATTATTAAATATATAATCAGTGTAACCATGCCCTCTAGAGGACTAAGTTTACCTCCATAGAGTCAAAACCAGCCTTTGGGTCTGAACACTCTTACAATTTGGGGGAAAGGCATTTTGGATGTTTGTAGTTTCCTTCCTCATCTGAACCTAGCCATGAATTTCCATTTCCTCTTTGGCACCATACCTACAACAGGTTGAAACAACCCCTCAAAATGGCACTGGCAGGTGAGATTTAACTTTAGCACCCACCTGGTGTCTCTGCCAAACAATTACTTCAGGTAATCCCCACCTAGAGACTGAAGGACTGATCTGAGGTCTTCCTCTCTACTACTTCCACAAGACATCTGACCACTTTGCAAGGCCTGACCCAAATCAATATGCTGAGTATTAAATGGCTTTAACCTGCCAGAGGGGAGACTGAGATGAGCTCTTAGGCAGAAGCTCTTCCCTGTGAGGGTGCTGAGGCGCTGACACAGGGTGCCCAGAGAAGCTGTGGCTGCCCCATCCCTGGCAGTGTTCAAGGCCAGGTTGGACACAGGGGCTTGGAGCAAACTGCTCTAGTGGAAGGTGTCCCTGCCTGTGGCAGGGGTTGGAGCTGGATGAGCTTTAAGGTTCCTCCCAACCTAAACCATTTTATGATTCTATGAAATAAACAATGTTCATTTTCTTACCTCCTGCTTTCCACATTTTCCTTCCTTTTCTTCTTTCTGCATTCACTGGCAATTTCCCTGCCCTCCCTTGGTCGGTGTGGTTTTACATTCCCAGTTGGCCTGAGCTGCAAAAATGAGAGTGAAAGGAATCTGCGTGCAGTTTGTTTGCCGTGGCTGCGATCACCCCAGCTGGACAGGATGCTGGTGGCAGGATCAGCAGTGCTCGTGGGTATTCGCTGCAGGCTGTAGCACAGTCCTAAAGGAGCCAATAAACGCTTGTGGAGTTCAGTCTGAAACTCTTTTGGCTTGAATGTCCACATTTTTTGATCAGGAACCACTGTGAGCCACACATCACCAACCCTGTGGACAGCTACCCTGAAAAACAAAACCTGGAAAGGAACAGGGGAAGGGTCAAAGCTCTGAGCTAACATGATGCAACAGAAAGGAAACTCTCATCAGTTCAAGAGGTTTCTGCTGGTCAGGTTGGTCTATGCAAACCCCCAGATACTCCCCAGAGAGTCCTGCAGACCAGCCTAGGGATGCAGGGCTGGAGTGACGGCCTCCATTCAGGCTGGTGAGGGAGGCCACAGCCCTGCTTTCTACGAGAGAATATTTGGACACCTCTTCCATGACACCTTAGCTTCTGTCTCAAGGGACACTGCTCCCACGTAGCTCAATGGACAGATGGAATTAGAGCACAGCTGTATTTTAGCAGCTCTTTGAGTAAACCCAGAATAGCTCAGAAGTGGGATTTTCAGAGCCTGTACCACTAGCTTTGCTTTTGCCATCGAGCCGTTGGGATGTCAGGCATCGAACACCCTGCAGCTCTCAGATGGAGGTTTTCAAATCCACTCTGTGGATGTTTTCTTTTTTAATTCATTTTTTTTCTGACATTTCTCCCAGTACAAAAATATGTGTTTTTTCCCTTGGTTACTTTCACTCTGCTGACCTGGTTTCTTGCCTTCCTTTGGAAACGTTTAGGTGGCTCAGCAATGGAGAGGATGAATCAGTTCACCCACAGTGAACATACAGTGGGTCTGGGAAAACCCCGGCAGAGTGAAGTGTGTGGGGAGCACAGAGGACTGCAGAGCCTTTGGAAATGGCCTGGCAAAGAACGGGGCTATCACTTTCCTTTTCTCTCTGAAGTTTCATCAGCAGCCAGTATTGCTGCTCCGAGCAGACGCTGCCCTTGCTCTTAGTTCAGCAGGATCCTTGTGCCCAATTTAGTGGACAAAACTCAAAGCATTTTAACAGCAACTGGAATACACAAAACTATTGCAAATTTTCTAGCAACAGGAACCTGCTGGCATACAGGAAACTGAAGGATGATTTGTTGGGAGGGTGCAGGTCTAGCCCTCACAGAGGGCTAAGCACGGAGGCACTTACTTAGGTTTCAGTTCATCCTCAGAAACACCAAGTGCCTCATCTTGGGACCGTGTCTTCGTGGTTCACTGCTTGGTCACAGCCCACTGGAGACATGGCCATTTGCTCCATCAGCAACAAACACACCTGAGAAACAGGCAGGGATGTGTAGACAATACATTAACCAGGAAAAGACAGGCCACCTTCGTCAAGTAATTCTATGATATAAAGGACATTGAAAATTTGACACACAAATTCTGAATGCAGAACATGATAACCCAATTACTGGATTTTTAAATTAAAATCCAGCAGTATCCTAATGTATTTCTTCGTATTCTTTTTTAAGCATCTTCCAAGAAAAGAGTGAATGATCTGCAATTTAGGTGACAAACATTCTCCCAGCACCAAGAGTCCTGTATCCTGGCCCTGGGGCAGGGATGCACATCATCTGAAGCAGTTTGAGTCATCCCACTGCCTTCAGCCACACTAGTCATGGGCTCAGCCTAAGCTCACCACTAAGTACCACGTGCAGTCAGACCTTCAGTTCAATCAAGAATAGACGTTTCATGCTCAGATTTACAGAAGCTCCCTCCATTAAACCAGTGACACGTGCCTGCACCCTGAACATCTGCGAAGTTCTTTATAAAATCACATGTAGATTTATTACAAATACTTTTTTTTACCCTGAACCAGTTGAATCTGAATCAAGTGAACGGGTGTGCTGAAGACTGGAAAACAAGAGTTGTGTAAACTGATAATGCTAACACTGAGTAACATGCTAGAAAATGGTAAATATAATTCAAATTCTCCATGTTTGCTAGAGCTGGTGACTGACATTCTGGTTTACAGCATGAGTCAATCACATCATAAATGAAATTTAAAGGCAGTTGACAAAATATCTTCATGTCAAACGGATGAGATGTGGGTTCACTGTTCGAAAATGTCATTCTTTGGTGCTGCAGTGTCCCTTAAAGGCTAATCTAAAAGAAAATTAAATTAATCTCATGCTCACCACCTTTAAATTGCAGGAGTGAAAAACCTTTCAGGACTTGCCAATTACTAAGGAAACTTCATAGCTGGATTATTCCCAAATTGCACACCCTTTATTTTAACCACTAAAGGCAAACACATGGTTTTGATGGGTTGTAAAAGAACAGGTTGCTTTTTCAGTACTGAAAGAAGCTGTAATTACTTCCCTTGTTCGGTGACTTCCTGATTTACTTAGGTTGTTATGGGTGATACTATTCTGCTAAGGTAATTGGAGCTGATGACCTGAGGGAATGACCAGTGGCTTTTCAGTCTAGGTGACTTGCACCTAATGAGTAGAGCCCTGCTTCCCAGGAAACAAGGACACTATAACTGCCTTAAGTGCTTGGTATGTGTGCTTTAAAGGCTTATGTTTCGCAGTCCAAGCAGATTCTGTCTCTGTATGATATCTGCAAACCGAACAGATACAGCTGTTTCCAGATACAGCTAAAATAAAGGTATTTTCCTCAGACAGAAGCATGAGAAATAGAGCACGCCAGGAAGGTGAGCTTCAGTCTCTAGACATCCAAATGCCAACACACAAACACAAGGAGGTAACCACCAGTTCCTGAAGTTAGTTCTTGTCTGTAACACAATACATAATAAAACATGTTTGTAATGAGTGGCAATGGGTTGTGCCAGTAGGAATTAAACTATTTAAAGAGTTAGAAGTGAGACCTCCTGAGTTTTCAAAGGCTTCAGGAGGGCATCATCCCTGAGCCATCCCTGGAGGAGAGTTAAGACTCTTGAGGGGACTGGCCACCCCTCAACAGAGGTCCCTTCCTTCCCCAGCAGATGAGACAGGCAGCACCCAACATCTCCGCAGTGCTGCCCAGAAAAGGCATCTTCCTCAGCTGGCAAAGGCAATGTCTGGTTTAGCTCCCACTGTTGCTTGGCTCTGGTTTTGCACATTTCTGGGGCTATGTGTTGCATTACCTTTCTGCTCAGAAGCACAAATTTTGACTTGCTGCACGTTGTCTTAAGTTGAGATATATGATTTAAACCTGTGGTTCCTGATTCTAAGTATCCCAGATCTCATGTAGTTTGAAACTAGTGCTGGCTTGGCTTACTGCACAATAGGCTACTTGCGCCAAGTAAACCGATGGGAAGAGATTAAATGAGCCAACCCTGAGGATAAAAGTCCTGTACCATGAATCATGCATAGCTTTTCCCTTCATGTCCCCTGTGTAGTCTGGTGGATCCATCCAGGTATGAAATTCTGCAAGAGGTGTGGGTACACAGGGAAATTACAGTGAGATAAACACAATTTATACCATTGTGGAAACCTAATTTACAGCACCTTGTAGTTGTCTGTTAAGAACAAAAGCTCATGCACTTTCACTCCAGGAGAAAAGCAAGGATGGGCAAAGTTCTTTACTGTGAGGGTGGTGACGCCCTGGCACGCATTGCCCAAGGAAACTGTGAATGCTCCATCCCTGGAAGGGTTTACGGCCAGGTTGGATGGAGCCTGGAGCAAGCTGCTCTAGTGGAAGTTGTCCCTGCCCCTGGCAGGGGTTGGAACTGGATGACCTTTAAGGTCCCTTGCGGCCCAAACCAGTCTGGGATTCTATGACTAAATAGCAGCTGACATGCTGATAGTTAATACCTAAATTAATCCCACAGTAACTCAACCATGTCCACAGATTCATAGTTTTTACTAGAAGGTAATGCATGAAGATGTTGATGTCCTAAACCTTGGTTTGTAATGCACTCAGCATCTATGACTGATGTTAAAACACCGACCAGGAAGGAGTTTGGCTATGGCATCTCTTCGAAGTGGCTCAAATATGCCAACACTAAAACAACCCAACTCATACAGCACCTTGATTTCAGAAGTTATTTCAAGAGACATCGTGTCTCTTACTGCAAGAGACTGCAGACAAGTACATTTACAGCTAAGACTCTTCAGCACCTGCAGGCACCACCAGAAAGCCTCACATACGGTATCCAGATGTCCTGCATGGCTGGAAAAGGCATAGAGCACAGCATCCTCCAGCAGCCACCATGGAGGGTGCTCCTTAGAGAGGCAGGTGCCTGGTTCAGTGCTGCAAAGGCTCATTCCCCATCTTTGCTTTCCCAAAGTTCAACTGAAAACCTACTCAAAATCCTAGAAAACCTGGCCATTTCTTTAAACTATCCTAGCAGTTTAAGCTTTCCTTGTGAAACACATCCAAATTACATTTCCTGTGGCTGGCGTACATACTGGATGCCAGAATAGCATTATGTGTCATTTTACTTGAACCCCCAGGTCAAAATTAGTGATTGAAGAGAAGCTTTATGATGTAGGGAGCTCCAGGAGCCTTTGTTAAGTTAATCATTTGAATAACATCACCATGAAGGACTTAAAGATGAGCTGAAGGACAAATGATTTCAGTTCTTTATGGATTCAGAAATAGCAAAAACAGAGCTACTGATGATAGTGCTGAAATAACATTTTTGGAAGGCAGGAGTTAAAGCTCAAAACCTCAGTCTGAGCTTGAGAGGGCACCCATGCCTCTGAACACACACAGCTCAACCATGGAGGAAACCCAGAGAGGTGATAGTGCAGAGACAGAGAATACATTCTCCTTTGCAATGCTGGGTGTCAGGGGAAAGGAAGTGCTGTTAACTGAACCAGATAAAATACCTGTAGTAAAACATGCGTACTAAAAGCCATGTTGGCATAGCCCACCCACAGCCAGCACCAACACTATGTCCCACTACCGCAAGCATGACCAAGTGAAGGTGAGTCCGTGAGGTAAGATACCACCCATGTTCTCTACTTTGTTAAATGCACCATCTTACATTGACTAAACACTCAGATCATTCCCATCAAAGCTCCCGGACCAGCTGAGGGCTGGGAAAGCAGATCTGTTCTAATCTGTGTGGATTATGGGACACAAGAGCTGTGCGTCAGCGTCCTGCTGTCATTCCACCTGAGGACACTTCCTCTTTCCCACCTCCCAAGTCAAACAGCCTTATGAAACAGCAATGTATGTCCACACAGGATGTGGTGAGGACTGAAGTTTCAGCCACACGTGGGTGAGTAGAGTCTTATAGGTTAGAAAAGCCCTTTAAGATTACAAAGCCCAACTGTTAACCCAGCACTGCCAAATCCATCACTAAACCATGTTCCTCAGTGCCACATCCGCAAGTCTCTTCAAAATACCTCTAGGTACTTGATGGTGACTTCAACACTTTCCTGGTCCAATGCTTGACAACCCTTTTGGTGAAGATTTCCTTTGGACACCAAAGGATGTCCAGCTTTCCTGGACCCCTTTGCCCTTCAGGACTACCTGCCAAGGGACTCTGTCACTGGGCTCCAAAACAGGCCAAAGTCTGCCCTCCAGAAGTCCATCGTAGCAGTTTTGTTGACCACTCTTCCTTAGTTCTCTGAGAATTGAAACCTCCATCACTTCATGACTGCTGTGCCAAGATGGCCTCCAACCATCACATCACCCACAGTCCTTATCTGTTCACAAACAAGAGGTCCAGTGGGCACCTTCCTTGGCTGGCTCCCTCACCAGCTGTGTCAGCAAGTTCTCTTCCACACAATCCACGAACCTCCTAGACTGCTCCTACTCTGCTGTATTGTATTTCCAGCAGACACCTGGCAAGTTGAAGTCCCCCATGAGAACAAGGGATAGCGACTGTGAGACCTCTCCCTGCTGCTTATAGAGCATTTTATCTGCCTCTTCATCCTGGTTGGGTGATCTAGAACAGACTCCCACTATGGTGACTGCCTTGCTGGCCGTCCCCTGATTCTGACCCATAAACACTCAATCCTATCATCACCATCATTAAGCTCTAGACAATTAAAACACAGGCCTCTCCTTCCTTGCCTATCCCTTCTGAATTTACTAGTGCATGTGGTCAGTCGTATAAAAAGCTACCAGAAAATCACACAGTAAGCAGTTACCTGGGATCTTCATAGACTTCAAGGAGACAACTATCACCAGCCAGGCTGTGCCCAGAACAGGCATAGCACTGGACAGGAATGATGCAGCCTGAACCCTCCACGACACACACAGGTTAGCCATAGGGTCCTCCTCCCTTTTACAAACCTCTCTGGAGGAGAAAGCACTGACCTGCAGCAGCCTTGAGGCAGTTCCCCAGGGGGGAAAGAGATGCTCTCTGCTTCTTTGCCCATCTCCCCTCCAGAACGATCTGACATGCCCAGGAAGTGGAGTGTGGGAGATTCATTTCTTTGTTTCCCCTTTTCCAAGACGTTAAAACAGGCAAGGAGACAACATTTGTTGAAACACAGATCTGCCATAAAAATAAGCAACCAAAAATACAAGTAAAACAAAACAGCCTTCATGTCTTAACTTTCCAGATGTAAGTCTCTGAGTTCCCACTTGGGTTGTTATTATTATTATTACTACTCTTACTACAATAATAGGATTCCCAGGCATGGAGCAGAACCAGCACACATATAGAAATGTAGGAGTGCAGAAAAGGGGTGAGTGCAGCCAGCCAGGGGAGCAGGCACCACCTTGCCTGCTCTTCTCAATGTGCCGAGCACTCGTAAGCACCATGTTCACTGGGGAGCCTTGGCAAGGCAGGCGAGCTGGGGAGAGACCTGGCCCAACAGAAGGGACTCCAAATCCTGTCCGAGTCCCAGGTTATGAAAGTATCAGCCACAGCTGTCAGACAGCAGGAGGAGGTTCAGCATCAGCTTCAAACCTCATTAAGAAATGGCTCATCCCTCTATTGCTTTACCTTCAAACATGGGTTTCAGCTGCAAGACTTGGAACCAGGCTCAGGTGGTTTGGGGCTCAACTTTCCCCCACGCCCTGGGTTAGTTTGGATTAGGGTTTTGGCCTCTGTTTGAAAATTGGGAGAAGGGTTAGCTGCAGGCTTTGGATCTAAATTCAACCCTTCCCAAACTTACGTGGGAATGCTCCGACCCATCTCTATTTGTCTTGGGTAGGGGAGTCGCTGTGGTGCTATCTGCAGTGGAACTTTCCATTAGCAACAACAGGAGAGACAAAGAACTCATGCTCTGACCTTTATAAAACCATTCCCTAACAAAATTTACTCAAGTAAAGAATCCACAATCCTCTTTGGTTTTACTCATTTAATTGATAGGGACATAAAATATTTTGTGTTGTTTTAATAATAGTTTGGTTTTCTGCTATTTAAAAAATAAAGTAAAAAAAAAAAAGTTCATTTCTCCAAACATATTTTTAGCAAAAATATTTTGCTTGAACTTTTTTCCTCTGCCTTCAAAGGCTGCTGCACAGTTCTGGGGTGCTAAATACTAAACTCACATTCTACCACTCCATCTCCTCCCATTTGGATGGTAATCACAGGATCCTGATGCCAAACTCTGGAAGATATTTTTTCCAGCAGCAGCATCTGGCTTCTTGGCAGCCCCTGCGAGCAGTTGTGCTGGCAGCGGTGGGAGCTGCTTGAGTCTGTCATGTGTTTAGGCTGCCGCGGAGCTGTCTGAATCGCCCTGCTGCCTTAGACACTGTTCTCTTGACTTCCATTTCATTTTGATAGATTTCTGCTTTCTGCTGTCCTCCTGGTAACGAAGCCCCGTTGATCCCGGAAGGATCTAAATATAGCTTCTTTAATCAAGGATAATCATGGATGTTTGTGGAGTGCTTTTCAGGCCCCCCCCAGCCCCCAGCTCCTGCTCGGCAGCTGGAAGCTGCTCTGTGACCTCTGCAGAGGGATCGTTTTGCACGGTGCTGAACTGCAGCCACCTCCAGAAGGGATCACGGGAGCTGCAGAACTCGCCCGAGACCCTCGAGGTCCAGGCACTCTCTCCGCTGTCCTGCCACATGCCAGGAACACCCTGACTAATGCTTGTCACGGGGAGATCCAGACTCCAGCCCGCAAACTGACTCATGCAGCTCGTCAGAGGAGCCCCTGAGTGCCTTAAATTTTGCCTTTTGATGAAGGCACACCGGGAGGGATCTGCTGCTCCTGCTTCACAGGCTGCCAGCGGAGTAACTCTGAGCTTCACTTTCTTTTGGGCTAAACGAAGACAGAAGTAAAGAATGGATTTATTTCCTGCAATGCAAGTACTTCAATGTAGTTTCTGGTTCTGGAAAAAGATGCACATGAAAAAAGAAAACTGTTTAGCTATACATCTCCCTGTTAAGCTTGAATTTCTCTCTTGATTTTACCCACTGAAAAACACACCAGGGTGCTTGTACAGCCCTCTGGGCTGTGATTCAGTGCAAGACTTCGCCCTTCTGTTCCCACTGCTGGAAATCACTGCATTAGGAGACACTGATTTAGATAGACACTTCTCTTCCCGAGGCTCAGACTTGCTTTGGTTCAAAAGATGAATATTTCCTTGAGGTAATACATTTTAGCACTTACCAGCTATCCTTGCTTAGCTCTAGGAACACACAAGACTCTCTGGATA